TCATTATTCTTACTATTACCCTCACAGTGACCCGTTTTGTTAGAATTGGGGTTCAAGACTTGGGGTTAGCGCTAGGGATGTGGTTTTGTTTAGGAGTTCGGATCTGTTCAGACCCAGGCATAGACCAGCGACTGTAGCTGTGTGGAGGCTGTTTCTGACCTATTGCATCGATTTTCGATTTTCGATTTTTGGGATTACGGTTTTGGAGGGTTGCATGAGCGGGGTGTACGGATCAGGTCTTAGCAGGGATCGGTGCTTTGGGTTTAGATTTTTTGTTGCTTGCTTGTAATTTAAGGAAGTTGTCGGAACTGTCAACAGGACCCAACATCTAGTTCCAAGCCATAGCCCTTGTATAGCCTATATTCCTGGTATGGTCCTCTTTAGGTCCTAAAAGACTTGATCACCAATCTGATTATCTCTCACACCCTAAACCGTAAACCCCTAAACCCCAAGCCCCAAAGCGTAAACCCTAAGCAGGTGCCTTTGCGGGTGCAGACGTCCGCGGCGGAAAAGCTTCTCGGTGGCCAAGACACGACTGGGGGGTGGGAACTGCCCTTTTGGCCTGTGTCTTTTTTAAGGATGATGTGTTGGGAGGTTTGCATGGTGATTTCGGGCAGTTTAGGTTTTTGAGCTGGAGACGGTTAGACATGGATATGAAGTGATTTTTAAACCGAAAACCTTTACCAGCAAACCCCAACCACCACCCGAAAAAAATTACCTAAATCCGCAGTCTCAAGCGCCAAGCCCCAGAATCCCAAAGATCCCGCGACACTGAATCTCCTGAAGCCAAGAAAACTTGTAACCTCTGCATATCCCTAGGCTCACCCACGGTAGCCCCTTCAAAAAGCATTTTTTCAGGGTTTAGGGTTCAGGGTTTAAGTATAAACCTTGAAGTTGAAATCCCCCAACCCTAAATCCCCGAAACCCCCAGTGCTAACTTCCTGAAACCAAAGACCTTAAGTCGTAGACCCCTAGAAAATCCGGAGGTCTAGCATCGTGCAGAAGAATCCCAGAAGAAGTCCTTCTAAAGCAATTTGAGTCCCTGCGGTCTAAGCCCGAAGCACGGTAGTGTCTAGCGCAAACCGGTCTCACCCTCAAAGGAAATCCTGAGGATTGGCATCTCTAGACCCTGTACCCACCCCAAAATAAAAATCCTACAAGGCAGCAGGTCTATTGCTATAAAATGGAGCCAGAACCCACAAGCTCCTGAATTCTGGCATCCCTACACCCTAAAGCCTATCCCGGAAACCCTGCACTCTAAACCCTGAGCTTTTAAGCCCAAAGGCTAAAACCTGCCCGAAGCACCCTAAACCCAAAACCCTCAGAC